TCATCCTCCCTAGCCATTATAAAAAATATACGTCTCAAACAAAGATGATGAATTCTCCCTTGTTCTTCCTCTTGTTATATTTGTTTTGTATAGGCAAATTGGGGTTATAATGCTTTGAAGAAAACGTTTTCATGGATTCGTAGGCGTCATTAACTACGGTGTTAGCGGCAATGGAACACCATTGATTCATAGATCAACATGTAAATAATGTTTCATCGGTTTTTCTATCGCCAATACTACCCTAGTTTCTGACGTCAACGAATCCATGGAAATATATAGTGGATCCATTAAAGAATTTTATGTGCAGCATAATCATATATGAATTATCACGTTCTAAGAGTTTTTCTTTTCTTTCACAAAATTGAATCAAGCATTATATGAAAGTAAAATATTTTTTGTCGACGTTTATTCTCTTTTAGCTGAATTAACATAAAACTCTACATTACATGTAATGATTTCACTTTTATAAATTTAATTGCTATTTTATATAAATATATTGATAGAAAAAAGGAATACATACATTTTGAAAACAAATAAAAAAAAGTGATTTATTCTACTTTTAGTCCAATATTAGATCGCTTTAGGTCCATTTAGGCCGAGTCGGTTGTTGTTTGCAGAAACACAATGGCTATGTTTCTTTGTTCAAATCTATATATACTAGAATAGGACCCGCGTTAATACGCGGATAAATACAATAAAAATTAATAAAATTTTAATTTTAATTTTAATTAGTAACCCGTTGAATTTTAAAATACTATTTAACGTGGATTCTACAACCAGTATAAGTCAATTTATATCATAATTATCAAGTTTTAATCCATATCATGCAAATCCAAAACTATATATAGTCAGAATTTAAATCATATTCTTAACAACATAAAATATATATTTTAACTCATTATGAATATTTATGAATTATGTGACAGAAAATAAAAATAACTAAAATACTATTTAGTTAAATCAGAAAAAATGAAATTTATGTTAGTAACTTCATAATAACTATAAATAATGTTGTAAACCATCACATAAATACATGATTGATAAATGTATTTTATTAATGTCATCGTTTTATTTTTCATAGAAATTTATGCTCGCCAAACTTTATACAGTATTAACTTAATAGTAAATATAATATTATTATTTTTTAGCTAATATAAATTTTCAATATATACACTTGGATAGTACCAATGACGTAATAGGTCAAAAATTTCTATTTTTTTTTGTGATATTCTATAAATCTACATTGATAAAATAAGTATTCTTATAGTTTTTTTTTTTTTTTTGCATAATTGTGTATATCTTTAAATTTTTAAATTGAGGTTTCTCTAACCTTTCTTAATTTTTTTAATTCAATTTATATATCTTCTTTTATTATTATTATTCATGTTTTTATTTATTTTAATTGACATTTTTATTCTGTATGTAGTATTTTTATCATTTATCTTAATTTTTTTCTTATTTAGTATGGATAATATTAGAAATTTTTATTTTTATTATTTGATTAGTAACTTGATAATTAATTTTCACTTTAAATTTTATTTTTCTTAATTAATTTTAAGTTTTAACACATTCATCGACTGATCAATATTAGATACATGTCGCGATCTCGTGAGTTATAATTTTGCTTGGGTGTCATGCTTATATAAAAATGCATTGCGGTAAATACTTTTGATTTTAAAATTTATAACGCCTTATTTGACAAATG